TTCATGATATAAATGCTATGCTGACAGCCTAGTTCTATACATAATAACAAGTTCTGTATTGAGTTGTGCCCTCAAATATAACTCAGCTATCATGGTGATTTTGCAGCTATAGAGGTGTGTAATGCTTGAGTTGAGAACTATGAGCTATAAATAAAGGATTGTCATCTTATTTGAGTCTCCCCTAAATGAGTAGTGCTAAAATAGCGCAAAATAGTACTACAGTAGTGCAAAATAGCGAAAATTAGAGGACCACATTTGCAGTAGTGCTATAATAGTATCATGTCAGCACTACATGGCACTATAGAAAAAGTGATAGTGAAGAGTAGTTATAACTAGTACCAAGTATACTAATTAGTGCTTAGTTGCACTACTGAAGAAGTGTGTCTGAATAGTAGCTCTAATGTAGAGGTCATCTCTGCTAACACTTGCTAATACAGATGAGATTATCTGAATAGTGATAATTAGCGTCAATTCGCAAAGGCTGTTTTTCCAGATGTGGACTCTGACCAAGCAAGGGACAATAGGTACCTGGTCTGTGCACCACTGTATTTGTATAAATAGTAGGGAGTCTGAGGCAGAGAACCTCAGACTTGATCTTCTTGTCGATCACCCATCTCTTCTGTAGGTAGCTAGCAGCCCTACCTCTTCACTGCCCCTTCCAGTCTAGGGAATCTACTTCTTTGCACCATCTCTTGCTGTGTCACCTGGAGTTGCTTCGCCCCTCAGCACCAACCCCATCACCAGTAAGCTTGTCTTTGTTTGTCTGGTGGCACAGCTCGTTGGCTGTGACAGGAGCAGAGGTTGATGGCGGTTTCAATGACCTCCCATGGGAGCGCGGGCGCGGACTGCGTGATGGACGAAAGCAAAGGTGAGGGATGTTGGGATTCTGCTGGGTCGTCGATGGAGAACATGGGCCGTTGTCGTCAGTGAGTGATATTGTTGAACAATGAAAAGTTGGTCAGACCGGGGATTGAACCTGGGTCATCCCATATGCGCTGGGAGGTGTTACCACTACACCATCCAACTGATACTAGAGTGTGAATTCTATAGATTCCAACAGATATGATAAGCTTAAAAGGTACCAGGGACGAGCTATAGTTGCGTTCAACTCGCAGGCTGTGCCATGACCATGCGGCGAGAAATCTCATAAAATCACAGGGAGTCTGGAGGCAGTCTCTCCTTTTGACCGGATTTTACGTGATTGTAGCTATGTAGACACCGTAGGTATTCAGTAGTTTGGATGCATCCGTACTGGTGGGTGCATCCATAGGGCACGTGGTACATCCAGCATCTGGATGCATCCATAGGTTGTAGATGCACCATAGACCACTGCGGATGCATCCAATGGGCTATGCACCATATACGCGGACATTGTGGTCGTGGTTCCCAGCGCATTACTGGTGACAGGTGCAGAATCCGCAATTTCGTACTGTACAACAAATAGACAAAAGTGATGTACTCTGATCTGCGGCACATGTACACATGAATCCTCCAACCTCCCGATGAACAAGCACACCTGCCGTCACACTCTCAACCTGGTTCACTCGGACTACATCGCATAAGGCACAACCCATCCCATAAGTGTCCGTAGAATGTTAGGATTGAGATTGACAGCTGCCAGACACAGCCCATGGTTGATTTCGCAGAAGCAGGCTTGTGAACGTCAGCGTAAGGCACCCTTCAAGCGGCAGACTCTGAGCACGAACATGCCAGTAGGAGTAAGGATGGATTGGAGGGGGAGTGGCGAGTACATGTACACAAACCTGTGGGCCTTTGGTGAGGCCTTGCCCAGCTCCTCCTGTGGCGTTAAAAAGGTGAGTTCGGCAAGATACGGATAGTAATCACCTCGCCTGTTGGCACGTTAGAACACATTACAGCCTTGAGACTGCATGACTTACATCTTCGGCTCAAAGAAGACCTGCTCAGTCGTGAACACCTTGATCTGCGTGCTTGGAAGTCATCTGGAGATCTTGGATGGAAGTAGAAGAGGAACTGCTAGGTCATTGGGTAGGAGAAGAAGGGGGTGAGCTTACGTAAGAAGATGAGAGCAAGACTTAGACGTATGCATCAATGTATGATATAGACGCGTGACCGAAAACTTTTGGTGCCCGGTAGAAAGTGCTCGCCGTGATATCATTGCTAAACAAACCCACATTACTAAGGACCAGTGGCTGAGTGGTAGATGTCGTCAGTAATGTCATGGTTCTGGGGTTCGAACCAGAGTGGGAGTAATTTTAACTCCCCTATTTAAGGTCTGCTTACCATGTGCATCCTGGCGTGAGTTAGCCTCGTAATGGATGCATCCTCGACAATGACTTGCATCCATCGGGTGGTAGAGCACTGACAAAGATGCATCCAAGTTACTGAAGCTGCTCAGACACCCAATATCACATTCTGCGCGCCTTCCCAGTAGTGTACGCGGCTGCCATTCTGCCAGTGGCAATTGCCGTTCTGCCAGCGGGCCTGCACTGGCAAATACTGGCAGATATATTTAGCGCTCATACCAGAAAATGGTCTTAGGGGTGGTTCCCGCGGGCTTCTGATATCTGGGTACTCATACAAAAGCCCTGTAAAAGTACTAGTATGTGACGGCTTCCACAGCACTGCGTTCTGTGGACTCAGGACGATACTGATTGCTCTCACCTTGTTCTTTAGTGAAAGTGTGACCGGCGCTAGAACAATGAGGAACAGCCTACGCCGCTCTTCATGCACTACACCCCTTCAGAAAGCTTCGAAGCCTCATCTGAGGTTGACTGGTAAGCTGAAAACGTTTTCAGGTACTCCCTAGGACACTCTGATGAATGTATGTCAAGAGGAACTCACTCCAGACTCAATGTCTCTCCACGGAGGCGCTTAAATATTTGCCAGTTTCTGCCGACCATGGCAATTGCCATATCTGCCATATCTGCCGGCAGAATAGCCCAAAACATTTCTGCCATGTACACTACTTCCCAGTCATCGTTGAGCGCTCAGGTACAACGCCTAACGTTCTCGAGACTTCGTCGGCAATTGTACGCCAACAGCAAATGCCGCACATTTGAGGTCAAACTGCAGGTCGGGTGATGTAGATTTCCCAAGGTGCATCACCGTGCATGTCCGTGGCGATATCTCGCGCCCATTGATCTGTGTGTCTGCATAGCAGCAACCGTATGGCATACATCGGTATCTGAACAGTGCGGGAAAAAGGATGATCTACGAGGTACGGGACAAGCCTTGATGAGCACGACACTCGTATGGATCCCCCCATGTGTCGCGGCGACTAGGCGCGTAGACTCGGGTCGACATTCGGCGACGACCCCGTAGGCGAGCGGCAAGGAGCCGAAAGGGGAAAGAGAGAGGGAGAGGGATAAACGTGACAGAAAACTCGACGAGGGCAGAGCGGAGGTCGGCACGAAGGCACGAGACCTACGAAAGCTAGTCTTCACGCAGGCAGCGACAGACTAGTCCCAATGACCAAGTTATACATTAGCAATCAAAGAGAGGTACAACGCTATGGTCACTCACCTAGTCCCAATGACCAAGAGGTCGAGATGGGGACTAGGGAGCGCCTAGGTGGGTCCTTATATACTAGAGGGGCTGCTTAGCAACCAAGGACACGGCGCGAGAGCGAGGCAGTGAAGATGACAAAGGGAGAACAAAGGGCGGGAAGGAAAAG